AAAAAAAAAAAAACACCCAAAAAACCCTTCCCCCCATTATAAAAAAAAAAAAAAAAACCCAAAATCATCTTTGATCTCTTTTCCCTCACTGTCAACTCCCACTCCGATAAATCCTATCAATTGTATATGAAGGGAAAAAACATTTACCCCAAAGCAAGCATTCAATAAATGAAAGCTATTATTACCTTCCCACTGTTTCTGAGTCCTAGCTGATGCCACCTCTAATCTGCTCTATAGTGACACCCTCCAAACTCATATCCCCACTCCTCCAATTCTCTACACCAAGCCATTTTTTTTTTTTTTGAGACAGTGTCTCCATCTGTTGTCCTAGGTAGAGTGCCACAGGGTCATAGCTCACAGCAACCTCAAACTCCTAGGCTTGAGCAATCCCCGCCTCTCGAGTAGCCGGGACTATAGGAGTCTGCTACCACGCTGGGCTAGTTTTTCTATTTTTAGTAGAGACAGGACCTCACTCTTGATCAGGCTAGTCACCATCTCCTGAGCTGAAGCAATCCACCCACCTGGCCTCTCAGAGTGCTAGGATTACAGGTGTGAGTCACCACGCCCAGCCGTCAAGTCATTTATAAAGAGAAATCTTTTTAAAAAATGCCTATCATGTTCCTGCTTAAAACCCTTCACTGATATCCCATCAGAATAAAGTCCTTACTTTCTCCCAAGGCTTGCAGAGTGTATGTGACTAATGCCTGTCTTCTTCTCTGATCTCATCTGGATGTCACTTTCCCCTTTGCTCACTATGTGCTAACCGAGCTGCCCTTCATTCTGTTTCTCTTAACATGCCAAGATTATTTCTACCTTAAATTCTTCTTAATTGCTGTTCCTACTTTACATAATTTTCTTAAATGCCATTCCCTTAGAGAGGCCCTCCTTAACCACACTGCATAGAAGAGATCCCATTCTAGAACTTCATTCCATTTTATTACGTCCACATTATCCCTTTCTGAAAGTATCTTGTTTAATTAAGTGTTCTTGTTTGCTTCAGTCACTGCTGTTCCCCTAGTGTCTAGATCACTACTCAGCACATAGAAGGCACTCAAATATATGTTGAATGACAAAGGACTTGCACAACTACCTCTAAACTGAGAAAGTGGCACCTGTGTGGAAAACAAGTGTGCAGGCTGGTTAATTAAACTACTATTCAAATTTCCCCTATGAACTTGGCAACTTTCTCTGACTTGAGAGTTTGTTTTTAGGCAGGAGAGAGAATTACCGTAAAGTATTCTAATCAGTTTGGTCAGTATTAAGGACTCAACTATCTTGGTTCATCAACTGGCCACAGAAGCAGCAAACCGAAAGCATATATGAATTAGGATCCTCTTACTGTTGACAAGGCACACCAGGATTGAAGCAGAGTGGTCAGACTTTCTGTTCTAACAATGTGATAGGGGAAGAAGTTTGGGAACCTCAGTATGCTGAATATAATACCCAAGACGGATAATACAAGAACTAGAAGGCAAACAGAAAGGAAGCAGAGCTTCTTTTTGAGAAAGACCAGGTTTATTTTCCCTGCACTGCCATTGATTCCGCCTAGTTGCTTTCACAGTGCCTCATGGATAGGTTTTAAAATGTTCCCCGAGTATAAAATTAATTTTTAATCCTGGTATTGCCTACCTCCCTTCTCCCACACCTCTCTATTTACACTTTTCTGGTTTGGGGGCAGCTAAAGATTACTGATCAATTTTTAAGCAGAAGTATTATGTTTACTATCCCTACAAGAAATTACTCCAGCCAACTTTCTAGGCTACATTTTTCCCCCAATGAGTTCATGTTAATTAATTCATTCAACAGATATTTACTAAACCCCTACTCTGTGCCAGAGCAGACCACAATATTGTCCAGCCCCTGCAACATCATTTACTCCAAGGCTATGCAACGTAACCTGGCTAACATAAAGCTACATAACCTGGCAGCTCTGTGCCAGACATTCTGCACAGTGAAGAAAGAAAGAATAGTCCTTCCCCTCGTGAACCTCAAAATCTAGTATATTCTAACAAATGAGCAAAGAATCCATTGTACTATGTACTTTTTAACATATTGTCTTACTTTGGCCTCATATCAACTCTAATGAGATAAATAGTGTCTTCCCCTTTTAGCCAATTAGGAAACTTGTGCTCAAAAAGTTACATAACACCTCCGAGGTCACTCAGTGAGGCAAAGCTACAGACAATATCCAAGAAACTGTAAACTAAATCTCATCAAAACAAGAAAATCTGTTTCCAATTTCAGATGGCTACTCTAGTCGTCTGTTCTAAGTTTATTCTATTACGAGAATTTAGTATTTTTCTCAAATTGATAAGACTTTCTGCTACTTCAGTGTCCATGTTCATCAAAAGAAGACCCAGTTATACAGTTGACAATATATTTTTCACCTCTGGAAAGCTAGATGTCATTCCTTTCTTTTGGATTTCTAATTTTATTCCTTCAAACTTTTCAACCCTGCAAGGAATTTCAGACCTAAGAAATTCTCATTTAAGAACTTTCTTAAGACCTAAGAAAGTTCTCATTTAAGAACTTTCACTTACAATCTACACCCTAGTACAGTATGTTCAACCCACTGGTCTCCTTTTCACTCTTCCCAGTTTCCTTTTGTAAAGATCTATTTTTATGTTTACTTGTAAACATAATATTACATTAAAAAATAGTTTTCTTTACTTTTCCTGGACATCTAATTTGTGCCTACAAAAAGCTTCTGCTTTTACATGAAGAAAAATGATTTATAAAATTTTTAATCCAATGTATGCTTTCCCTATCAGCCACATGTGTGCTCTATCCTCACTCCTCTCTGCATAAACACAATCACAGCGGACTTAACTAAAGCCAGAGCAAGCATCGACTTTCCACACTAATAATTACTATCTTCACACTTATAGTAATAACTAACATTTTTAGTAAGCTAAACATCTAGAAATCCAGAAAGAAGTAAAACAGAAGGCAAAAACCACTATAGCTTGCTATTGAGGTTATGTTACTCAAGTTTCCCTGACTAGTTAGCTTTATTTTTTTTTCTTTATAAGCTAATGAGACAACTCAAACCAAGGAAAGTATCATAATACCATAATTAAGAAATAAATCCTATAAATGGATATATCTAAGGGAAAAGACGCATTTCAAATGCAAGGCTGAATCTAGTTATTTCTTTATTTTTTGAGATAGTCTGTGTTGCCCTTGGTAGAGTGCTGTGGCGTCACAGCTCACAGCAACCTCAAACTCTTGGGCTTAAGTGATTCTCTTGCCTCAGCCTCCTAAGTAGCTGGGACTACAGGTACCTGCCACAACACCTGACTACTTTTTTTGTTATTGTCATTGTTGTTTAGCAGGCCCTGGCCAGGTTTGAACTCACCAGCCCCACTGCATGCGACCAGCACCCTAACCGCTGGGCTACAGGTGCCAAGCCTGAATCTATTTATTTTTATGCAATCCTTCAGAAATGAAGGTGGAGGGCAGTGCCTGTAGCTCAGTGGGTAGGGCACCGGTACCATATACCAAGGGTGGCAGGTTCAAACCAGGCCCTGGCCAAACTGCAACAAAAAAATATCTAGGCATTGTGGCAGGTGCCTATAGTTCCAGCTACTTGGGAGGCAGAGGCAAGAGAATCACCTAAGACCAGGAGTTGGAAGTTGCTGTGAGCTGTGACACCACAGCACTCTCCTGAGGGTGATAAAGTGAGACCCTGTCTCTAAAAAAAAAAAACAAGAAAAAGAAAAAGAAATGAAGATTGAGTCTCTTTAATGTATCAAAATGTTACACATTTCAGAATCATAGTTCTTAAGGGCCCAAAAAAGCATAAAACCACAACTTGGCCTCCACAACTCTATAGAGTAGGAAGCTGTCGATTTACAAAGTTTGTCATAGGAAAGGAAAGAACAGAAAGGTGGAAAAGGTAATGCATTTAAAACACAACAACAACAACAAAAAAAACAGACAACATACCTGGCAACATGAGAAAAAGCATCCACAAGGACAGATTCAAATTCTCTAGTGAATTCAGGTCCTTTCCTTTTACTGTTTTGGATGACATCATTTGCTAAGTACAAAAATGTAAGCTTTCTGTTTGATTTGGCTGAAAAAAGAAAAGAGGATAATTTAACTTACACCAAAGAAATTCTCAATTCACAATTCTTTTGCCCTAGGACGCTCCTCAAGAATCCTAAGACAGCATTCTATACTCAAGGTCTAGTAGATGTATTTACAAAGAAAACTAAGAAAGACATTTGGAACACAATTTTTAAAAAAAATGAAATGGGCCGTTTTCATTTTTGTGTTATTTTAACCAGAGTAATTGACAGTAAAACAAAGATAATCTAAAGAAAATTCCAAAGGATAAGCAGTCAATATTTATGTTAAAACCAAGGCTTCATGTATTCTACCACAAAGATGAGCATTTCTAACTCACTCTTAATTTTCAAATATTCCAGAATAAAGGACTGAGTTAGGTTTGAGTTTTAAAATAATTTCTTGTAATTTATGCTCCTAAACTGAAAATTTCTTTGGCACTCCAATAACCATCATCAGTCAATGGTATCAACTCTCCAGTACAGAGGAGAGTCTAGCTGCACCAATAGATACTTATCTCAAGTAAAAATATACATTAACACTACATTATTATTGAAGATTTATACACATCTGACATCTGGATATGCAAAATTATGGCTCCCACAAAAACCCTAATTTTTCTCTCTTATTTATAAAAAATGTCATAGTTCCTATTACTCTATATGGCATCATATATTAAACCATAAAAACTTCATTCAGTATGTCTGAGTTACAGTTGCTTGGGGGAACGTTACTGAATTTCCTAGCTTCTACGCACATAACTTCTCAAACATAAAGTTACATCACTACCATCTTTGGTCCCAGTTTTCTTTTTAAAAGGCATAAATAAAAACATGATTAGATATTCCAAAACAGTAAGGTTTTTTCCAGTGCTAAAGTACCTGACAAACTCAAGCAAGTTAGATGTCAACTTTTACACATTGGAGTAACTAGTCCTTGGTCTATTCTCTCAGAAACCACTTTTCTGTTTCTTTTGAAAAGCACATATTGGGTCTGACATAGCAGGCTTAAGATCTGACATTTTAAAATGGAGCCACAGGAGAATAATCCAAGTTAAAAACAAGATGTTTAAAGCACATTACAGTTTAGACTGGTGTCTTAAAAGGCTCATAAAACTAAATATAAATATTTAATCTTCTTAATAACTTAGTTTAGATGGCCAACTGATGAGAATATTGGGAACCTACGGCTATCTCTAATTGTTCTATTATTCAAAAGCAGAACAAAAGTGCCAATAGCTTCAATATGCTACTGCTGCTACAAAGGTATGATTATGGCAAAAGGCTTTAGAAATAAAAAAAAAAAACTTTGTTCTTGGAAGCTGCAGCAAGTAAAAACTCTATGAGGCTTCAGAGCCAAGGTTTTCATTATCCACATCAATTATTTTTCATCACCCTTGAACTTAATGATGGGGTTTTATTGAGGATAAAATTGTAATGCTCCACATCCAGCATCTTCAACAGTTGACATAAGCACCACGTTGTAAAGGTGATATGACAAAGCCCGAGAGCATTTGAACGTACTGTCACACTACATACCACACATACTCACACCTCCACTCCAACCCTGGGTGGTAACAACTCACTTGTTCAAATGACAGGTTCCAATATGACAAAATAGGCCCTTTCGCTCCCTACTTGTGCCCATGCTCAACTGGTCAAACTACTCGTTAAGCAAAGTTTAAATAACTGGCTAATCAAAAATGTTCACTTGTTTGGATGGTTTTGACTTCTAGAAAAAGTCTTAAGAGTAGTGTGAAAAAAGAGCTTATTTATCTATATGCAGGCCAAGATATAAAAAACACCATTAAAAAATATTCACCAAAGAGCATTTTACCCCAAACTATAAAGAAAGGGGGACAGAACCAAACATAAAGCAATAAATTATTATTCCTAGAAAAGAATATTTAGCAAGAAATAGTCAATTCTATAAATCTTGTAAAAATATTTTGAAGGGATATTTCCCTGATGCCCAGAGAAACTATGGGCATCTTAAATAAGGAAAATGACTTGACCACAGATAGAACCTAAGGGGCTAGTCAATTTGAACGTTAAGACACAACATCCTTTTCTACTTTAATGTGGGGCCCTTTGAATTCATGAAGGAAGCCTAGATATTAGGAAGCTGAATCCCAGTGCTTAGAAGAGCATCTTTTAGCTCTCTGCTGTCCAATATGGAAGCCACTAGCCGCCCAAGGCTGCTAAACGCTTAAACTGAATGGTGGCTCGTAAAACTTGGCAACTTTATTTTCAATTGTATCTATTTAAAATTTTAGTTTCTTAGTAACACATTTTAAGAGCTCAATAGCCACACGTGGCACATGGCTACTTTGTTGAACAACACAGATAGAAAACAGGTATTATCACACAAAATTGTGCAGGACAGTGCTGTTTAGAGCCCTTGTTCAACCATGAAATTTGCTTCTGTGACCACAAATTGAACTCTTAACTATTTTTAAACTGTGTAACAAGTACCACATTAAATGTTACGGAGAAACAAGAAGGTCCAGTTTCTCTCTTAAAACATAATCTAATTAAAAAGACATAATTCCCAGGAATGAAATAAATGCTAAGTTGGTGTTACAGGGTGGGAGGCATTGATTCAGTCTACCATGTGAAAGCATGGGTGGGTTTGGTTGGGAAAGTGCACTGAGGCACTGGGTAAGTGAAAAACCACAAGTTTTGGCAACAGATAGCCCTGGGCTCATTCCCCTGCATTGGCACTTAACCTCTCTACACTTGTATCTTCTCATCTATAAAATGGGGATAATAATGCTGGCCTCGCCTACTTAGCACATAAGGCTCTATCATAAGATTAAGAATTGTGAAGTTTCATAAACAAACGCATTATCTAAATTCTTATTTGGCAATGACTCAAACAGGATGAGGTGAGGAATCAGAAAGCTTCCCAAAAGAAGTGACATACAAGATGAACTTTGTCTTAGTCTCTGAGGTCCCACCCAAGAAGATTCTATACAGTGGCAATTCATGTTTTTCACATCTCAGCAGATGTTACAAATATTTGAATGGCATGGTAGGGTACACAAAGAAGGCTTTAGGAGTCCCAGGGTCAACCCTCCAGCTCCCCAGAGAGCTGAGGGAATTCCTATCTCAGTACAGCACATGATATGTCCCAGTATTTGCTAGAGGGCTAAAACTTGGTCTCTTGAGTGGATCCTGGATTTTGGCATCTGTTAGCCTGATAAAGTCTGAGTCTCAAGTTCAAAGTGAAAATACCACTTAACCACTTCAGTTTCCTCATCTGTAAAATAAATTCACTTCCTAAGTTATAAGGGGCCTAACGCATATAGTGTCCAAAATAGCTCTGAGCTTCATTTCTCCAGCCATCTGTTATGAAACTTAATCAGGGCATCAGATAGCAGTATAGCTGCCCATCTCCCCACCCCCCATCCTGGACTGTAAGTCACTTAAAAGGCAAAGACCATGCCTCACATTAAGCAATCAATAGTCCCACCTCCCCATGGTCGAGCGCCTACATTGTGCCTGACATCATGAATGTTCATTTGGATTATATTGTTTACTCTTCTCCACAAGAAGTTATTTGAGCCTCCCTTTTCCCTCATCTACAAGTTCCAACTTCACAGCTCCAAGAATTTTTAAAATAACAATGTATATAAAGATATCTCAGCCACTGCACCTAGCATATAATAAAAGCACAGTAAATATTAGTTATCATTATGTCCATTTTACAGATAAGAAAACTAAAGGACGGACAGGTTAAGTTGCTGGGGTCAGTAAGTGTCAAAGTCAGGCTTAAATTCCAGGCAGTTGGCAGAAACAACATGCTATTAAGTTTCCAACCCAGTACCTGGCACATAATAGGCTGAACTCAACGAATGCCTGTCAGATCCTAAGCAGAGCCTGAAATCAATAGCAGCTGCTTAAGGAGAGGAGTCTGAGATGCAAGGTCTAGGTAGTGGGGCCGCTTTAGCTCTCTAAGATAGGAGACACTATCCACTTCCCAGGGTTATCAGATGAGGACTGACTGCAAGGATACATATAAACACCATAGTATAGTGACTGCTATAGAGGAATGGTTTTGTTAAGGCGCAGCTACCCTTGTCTCTGTTTTACAGATGAAAAAACAGGCATAGAAAGATGAAGAAACTTGTCCGTTATCACTCAACCAGTAAATTGCTGGGCCGGCACTCCCATCTAGGTAGTTTGACTTCAGAGCCAGCTAGCTCTTACTCCAAATGCCCAGCACAGGGCCTGACACATAATAGGCTACGTTAAGTATCCTGTCCACAGGACCTGCCTGCAGCCGAGATAATAAAAGTCGTACGCGTCAAGGGGAACCTGGCGGGGGTGGGGGGGTGGGGGGGAGGGGGGATGGCTTTATGAACTGGAAATGTGGGCACCTGAGCCCAGTCTGTCCAACCTCAGTCAAGTACCTTAAACCTTTTCAGGCCTCAGTTTTCCTTCTCTGAGAAATGGAGATAACAATGTCTCCAACCCCCAAAGCGTGATCAGAGGTCCATGCCTGGAAAGTAAGACTCAATTAGGAAGCTAGAGGGGCCTGGAGAGTGGGTGGTCAAAGGACAACCAGGAGCCCAGGCGGTGGAAGGAGGTGTTTACCTTTGCGGAGTTCGCGATGCCACACGGAGACGATGGGTCCCGCGTGCTTGCGGTGGTGGATGAGCCACAGGGATAGGGTCTGCACGCTCTGCTGAGAGTTGCTTAGCTCAGAAAGCTTCTTTTCCAGCGCCGATTCGGAGAAGGAGGACATGGTGGTGGCGGTGAGGCCCGGCAGGGAGCGGCCTGGGCCGCCCAGTGCAGCAGGAAGAGTCGATGGCACGAGGCCGGGGACAGACTGCAACACTCTTTACCGACTGACAGACCGCCAGGGGTGCAAGGAGGGGGAGGGGACGGGTCTCCGCAGTAACAACCGCCCGCGCCGCGCCACAAGATGGCCACCCGACCTCTCACCCTGCTGCGAGAACGAGGTCAAAGGGCAAGGGCTGGAGCAGCAAGGCAGCGAGAGCCTCGGAGCTGCAGAGAAACGTTCCTTCGGAGGTGGCGGCCTCTCTGAACCTCGCTCAGTGCACTTTGAAAGAGATAGGCCGAGAGAAGGAGCACAGTTCCCGCGCCCCGGAAGGCGCTTTAAGCGCTCTTGCCTACGCGCCGGCGCAGTGGATCTGGCCGGAACCCTTTCTCCCGCTGCCGCAGAACATTTCTGGCGCAGTACGGCGCGCTACTTAGCGCGTCACTTCCGACGGGGCGGAGGAGGCGGGAGAGTGAGGGAAAGGCTGGAAGACGAGGTAAGGGAAGAGTGGCGGGAACAAGAGGGAGCCCTGCATCTGTGACCTCTTAGATGGGTATCCCGAGGGGACCCTGAGTCTCAGAGAACATGATTGGGGTATGGGAGGGATCTGCCTCCCTCATTTGAGAGGTGCCAGGCCGCACTTTTCCTCCATACATACTCTGCTCTCCGGCTGCCTCCCCTAAAACCTTGTTATTGGTTCTTCCAGGCCACCCACGTGGCCTTTTCACGCCTCCAGGCCTTCACGCCTTGGCTCTCGTGCTCTCTGCAAAGGTGACGTCCCCCTATTCACCTGGTGAACTCCTATTCAGTCTGCAGGGCCACCCTATAATGTTCAGTTCTGAGGTTTAATCTGACGGCGCCGCCATGAAACACACATTTGTACTCTGGGCTCCAAAGTGGTTTCTTCAGGGTATTACTTGCTGCTCTAACCCTCTGGGATTGCAGTTGACTGTTTTTCAATTTGAAGTGACACGTTAACTTGGGGGTGCGGGGTGGGGGGCGGTGGCCAAAACAGAGGCAACTATCTTACTCTCTCAATGTGTTCATTGATCTGGTTTTTAAGAAACTATTCCAGTGTTTCTTAAATGTTCAAGAAATACTAAGAGACTCTAAATCTTGACCCTATTTTTTCAAAACTTTAAATCCCGGTTACTAAATAAGCAGATAAATTTTGTCTTTCTAACTACCACAGGGGTGGTGGTAAGGAATTAGGTTATCATATACATAACAATTTTTCAATGTTCTGGTCATCATAGAACTTCCTAATTGTGGGCGGACCTTAGTTTAAGAGATGTTCTTCTAGTTGATGCCTGCTTTTGCTTTTACTGCACCATATTGTAATTCTTTGCTTAGAAGCGTTTAGCGTGTCCACCATAGTAGAATCATCATAATCATAGCTAACAAACTGAGTAGTTGCTGTATGCGAGACACTGTTTTCACATAGTAATTCATTTACTCCTCACAGTAAAGCTATGAGGTAGGCATCACATTATCCTCATTTGACAAATGAGGAAGCAAGCTCAAAGAGGTTAAATGATCTACCCAAGATCACAGTTACTAAAATTCAAGGGAAGGGACTACATCTTAGCCTTGTTTTTGACTCTAGATTAATAATAATTCTACTCGTAATTACAACTGAGGGCTCTTGAGCCCAAATCTAGACCATCTTTCCATATTAAGTAATCGTGTTCTATATTGAGCACTCTTACACCACATCACTGTATTAAGCACATTACATTGGTTCTTTTATTTAATCCTTACGCCAGTCCTATAGGGTGAGGATTATTGTTACTATTAGATGAAGAAACATAAAACATGGGTAAGTAACCTGCCCAAGGTTACTTGGACACACCTAGGAAATAGCAGAGCCAAGAGTCAATCAAGATTATCTTATATCTGATACCAAATCCTTCACTCTTGCAAGAGTGGTTCATGCATTTGTTCAGCAAATAGTTTTCGAGCACCTATGTCCGAAGCACTAGTCTAGGCAAACAAACAGGCAAAATCTTTATTCTCAGAATCTTACCTTCTACTGGGAAAGAGAAAAACAAACTTGCCACTTCTGAAAGTGGTTAAGTTCCCTGAATAAAATCAAGAAGGGGAAGGGGGATCAATAATGTGTATGTGTAGACAAATGGTTCAAAGAAGGCCTCACTGCATAAGGTAACATTTGACCAGAGAAAGAGATGAGAGAACAAGAGAAATGAGAGAACAAGCCATATGCTCTCATTCCAGAAAGAGAGAAAACCCACTTTAGATCATTGTTAGCTTTTTAGAGGAACAGCAAGGAGGACAGTCCTCAGTGAGTCAGAAATGAGCTCAGAAAAGTAGCCAGGGACCACATAACAAGGGAACTTACGGACAGTAGTAAAGACTTTGAGTGTTACTCTAAATAAATGAGGTCTATTGAACAGTTTTGAGCAAAGCAGGAACACTGAAGCTGTTAGAAAATAGTAAAGGTGCAAGGGTAGAAGCAGGAAGACCAGTTTGGCAAATGTTATAATAACCTAGATAAAAGGATGACTTACACCAGGGTTCTTCTGTCAATAGAAGTGGTGAAAAAGAGACAGAATCTGAGGATATTTTAGAGGAAGAGATAACAGGATTTCCTGACAGATTGGATATGGGGTATGAAAGAAAGACAAGAGTTGAGGTGGCTCCAAGGGGTTTTGGCCTCAGCAACCTGTAAGAATGAAGTTTCCATTTCCTGAATTGTACAAAACTGATGTGAGGAGCGAGAACAACTGTTTAGATTTGGACATGTCCAATTTGAAACACCTATTCAAGTATAGGTATCCAATAGGCAATTGGGTTTTTGAGCCCAGAGTTCACGGAAGAGATCTTGGCTAGAGATAAAAATTTGGAATCATATGGGGGGATAGCTATTAAAAGAGACTTTATCCTAGGGATACTTCAGTGTTTAGAGGTCTGAAAGATGAGGATGATAGGATTATGTCATTTTTCTTAAACTTATTAAGCTTACTAATGTTAATTATATGGATTGGTTTTCAGACATTGCACCAGCTTTGCATCCCTGGAATAAATGCACTTTGTCATAGTGTATACTTTTTTTAACATACTGCTGAACTATATTTCTTAATATGTTGCTTAAGATTTTTGCATCTATACTCATAAGAGAAATTGGTCTGTAGATTTTAAAATTTTTATAGTGCAGGATTGGCATTAATCTTTAAATACGTGGTAGAATCCACCAATGAAACCCATGTTGGCCTAGAGATTGTCTCCCTTTCTTCCTTCCTTCCTCCTTTATGCATTTTTCAAATAATAAATTCAGATTCCTTAAAAGTTATAAGGCTGTCCAAATAATCTATTTCATATTATGTGAGTTGTGGTAGTTTGTGTTGTGTAGGGGATTGATTTCAACCTTGATTTCATTGTGGCCAGGGAACATACTGTATATAATGTAATTTCAGTTCCTTTACATTTGTTAAGGTTTGTTTTATGTTCTGTGGGCCCTTTAAAAGAATGTATATTCAGCTCTTGTGCTGTGGAGTGTTCTATAAATGTCATAGATCCTATTGGTTGATGGTGGTATTGAGTTTTTCTATATCCTTACTGATTTTCTGTCTGCTTATTCTGTCCATTATTGAGAAGAATGTCAAAGTCACAGCTATCCATGGATTTGTCTACTTTTCCATTCAGTTTTATCCATTTTCGTTTCACACATTTTTGTAGCTGTTGTTTTATGAGTATACACTTAGGATTGGTATATCTTCTTTGATTTACCCTTTAATCATTAATACCCTCTGTCTCTGGTAATTTTACTCTGAAGTCTATTGTATCTGATATTATTATAGCCTCTTTTGCGTTCCTTTGATTAATGTTCGCATGCTAATATATTTTTCTCTCCACTTACTTTCACCCCATCTCTTGTAGATAGTATATAGTTAGATAATGTTTTTAAATCCACTCTGACAATCTCTTTCTTTTAATTGGAATATTTAGACCTTTTACATGTAATATAATTACAGTTGGCCATCTGCAAGGTTCTGCCTCTGCAGATTTAATCAGGCATGGGTTGAAAATACAGTTGACAGGCTCGGCGCCTATAGCTCAACCGGCTAAGGCGCCAGCCACGTACACCTAAGGTGGCGGGTTCGAATCCCTAGCCCAGACCCGCCAAACAACAATGACGGCTGCAACCAAAAAAATAGCCGGGCATTGTGGCGGGCGCCTGTGGTCCCAGCTACTTGGGAGGCGGAGGCAGGAGACTCGCTTGAGCCCAGGAGTTGGAGGTTGTTGTGAGCTGTAATGCCACGGCACTCTACCCAGGGGGACAGCTTGAGGCTCTGTCTCCAAAAAAAAAAAAAAAAAAATACAGTTGACTTTTAAATATCATAGGTTTGAACTATGCAGGTCCACTTATACTTGGATTTTCTCCCGCCTCTGCCACCTCTAAGATAGCAAGACCAACCCTTCATCTTCTTCCTCTTCAGCCTACTCAACATGAGGACAGGATGAACACCTTTATGATGATCCATTTCCAGTTAATGAGTAGTAAATATATTTTCTCTTCTTCATGATTTTCTTAATAACATTTTCCTTTCTCTAGCGTACTTTATTGAAACAATACATGCATATACAAAATAGGAGTTAATTGACTCTCCATATTATTGGTAAGGCTTTCAGTCAACAGTACACTATTTAGTAGTTAAATTTTAGGGAAGTAAAAAGTTAGAGTAGATTTTTGACTGCTCAGGGGGTTGTCACCCTCAGACCCCACATTGTTCAAGGATCAACAGTATTTGAAAAAAAATAAAAATGAAAAGTAATAATATAACAGTAAAAACTTAAAAAATAATCTAACAACTGTATATATAGCATTTGCATTGTATTAGGTATTACAAGTAATTTAGAGTTTATTTAAAGCATATGAGAGGATGTACACAAATTATATGTAAATACTACACCATTTTGTGTAATGTACTTGAACATCCTTGGATTTTGGTATCCACAGAAGTCCTGGAACCAGTCTCCCACAGATACCAAGAGGCAACTATATTGATATGTTAAAACTTAAGTCTGCCATTTTGATTTGGGGTTTCTGTTTTTTCAGTTTTTTGTCTCTCTGCTCTCTTTTTCCAGCCTTCCTATGAGTTACTTGAACATTTTTTAGAATTCCATGTGATTTATCTATAATGTTTTTGAGTGTATCTCTTTTTATGTAGCCTTTTTAGTGACTCCTTTAGGTGATTCCATTATGTGTATACATAACTTATCTTTACCGGCTCTAGTGAAGTGCAGAAACTTTATTTCCCTTTATGTCTCTTTACTTTCCCCCATTTATGATACAGAGTGTCTTAGAGGTTGCCATGCCTACATATATAGAAAAAATGGAGAATTGTGGCTAAACATACCTTTATGTACAAAATATTCATTACAAAAT